GACTGTACAGTCTCGACGGCTGGGAGGTTTCCTCCCAACCGTCAACTGTGGGCCAGGAGGTTTCTCCCCCTCCTGGCCGGTGTGGAACTGCTCAGCAAGTGAGTAAAGAGCTTGGAGGGGATAAAATAGCTAATAAGACTATGAAATAGTAGAATTAGTATTGGTGTGTGGGTGAGACTGCCCTCCTGTCTAGCTTGCGGGAAAGTTACACTAAGAAAAATAAGAGTGTGGCTTATTTCTAAATTTATCTTAGTGTTGATACTACTGTTGTTGTTGCTTAAGAATTCCTGTTGAGGAGGTAAGGAGTTTTATGGGGTTTTCTGAGTGTTAAGGGTTTCTGTAGGGTTTCTCTGTTAAATCTGTTATAAATTCTCTCTGGTTCTCTGATCTTATAAGTCTCTCTGGTTTCTCTGGGCTCTGATAAAAGGTACGCTGATTTCTCTAAATCTTTCAAAGAGGTGAGAATGGCTAAGCAATATTTCTGAATTACTTGTCTATGGCCAAAATTGAGGTAAGGGAAGTTCAGGGGCTCTAATAATCTCTGGATCTCTTAATCAAGGGTGATGAAAGCTGAGTAATATCTCTGATTACTGTTCTGTAGCTAGCATGAGGAGGGAGAAAGCAAAACATGAGCCAGAGGAGCCTCTATTTATAGACAAATGGTTCTGCAGTACATGGGTTTTTGGCCTGAACACAAGTTCGTCTGTGAAGGGTACTTCTAGAGTGGTTTTTACTACTCTGAGATGGCCTAATCTGATATGAATTAATCTCTAAGTGCCTTTCTGATACAAGAGGTTGTAAATCTACTATATGAGGCCTATTCTTAGATTATTTAATATGAGAATGGTATTCTTAGACTAATTAGTATAAGAGTTATTTTCTGGAACTAGTCTGTGAATCCCTTTCTAATCAGTAGCTTGTTTTACTAGTCTAAGATGAATGTATTATAGTTCTACAGGTTATTTGTATAATTTTTATTCATGGGAAATTGAATATCTTAAGCCCAGTTTGTGAATTAATTAACTACAATTTAGCCCAGCAATATTTATGTGGTTTGTTTCCTAACCTATTCCCTTCCCTCTAGTATTCTAACTACTATGTATATGTAATAAGGTGTTTTTAATTATGGGCTATGGGTTTGATTATTCTCACCACATCCTCCCCCAACTTATTTGTCTGCCCTCAGACAAGCTTTCTAAAGAAAATGATAGGAGAGATTTGCTATAAATAAAATAAGAAAAATAAAAAAATGCTTTGTTTTTCTTTGTAACTTCTAGAGACCCTTGAGTTTTTAATTATGACTCTGACTTTGATGATATTTGAGGGAACGTGGTTTTCATTTGAATTATTTTATCTGATTTTTCAAATTTTTGATGCATGTAACACCAGTTCTTCTTGTGTAGCAGATTTCTGACTGAGTGTTTCTATGAGTTTTCATTTCGCAGCCGGATTTTTTTTTTTTTTTTTTTTTTTTGGTTTCAAATTTTCCGCGCAGCCAGTTTGGTCCAAGCTCGGCCGCAGTCCTTTTTCAGACATGAGTTTGAAATCCTCTAACTTTGTATCCTCTGCCTTCAATCAGCCTTCGAACTCGTTTTTTTTTATTTGGAAGCGATGGGCCTTCAATCCTGGATTAAATCTGAAAGGTGTGCAATTTCTTTCATCCTTTCCCTTGATATTATCTAATCTGATAGCGATCTTTTCCCTTTCATTGTATGATGACCATTTTCCAGTTGATACGCGAATTCTTTAATCTCGGCGATATCTCTAAACACCCTATGTGATTCTGATTCACCTTCGCTTCGAGGATCGACTCGGCTGATGAACTTTGAAACCGGATTCTTGGATCATAGTTGCTTGTTCGATTTCCCGGTTTTTCCTCATTTTTGGCCGGGAAAAAAAATTCAAACTTTCATCTTTATTATTGGATAACTTGACGGACACCTCGACTCGAAACCCGTTTTTCATCTCAATTCCCCTCAATCTTCTTTCGTCTCTATCCGCAACCGCCTCCGATATCCATTTCCTAGACGAAACCGTTTCCAAATCCGTCCCGATTTTCCTGGCCTCTCATCTCGGATTGAGTCTTATACTTAAGGTATGTTTTCACATCTTCCCGCTTTGATTACATGAAGGAAAAAAAGAAAATGTTCCTTCAAGCAGCGACTTCGGTTTTCCATTAATTCGAATCAGAATTCTTTCCAATATGCTAGGTATTTAGATTTGCTTTTTTTTTTCGACTGGATACTCGATCCACGCCGGGTCTCAAACGACTTCCTCAATTGATTCTTAGAACTTCTTCTCCGTCTTAGATAGGTTTTTTTACTCGCACTTGGGTTTTCTTTGGACGAATTAACAGGCGTTTTGATTCGAAGCACCGTCTCGGAAGAAAGCTATCGACATTAAAGTAAGCTATCTCAAACCCTCGTCTTTAATCTTCTTCTCGTTCCAGATTGACTATTAACTCTCTGATGGTCGCGCCAGTCCTTCTTCCCTTTCCGATCTCTCCTGGCCCTGATGATTTTTTTTATTGTTATTACACATTTTTTTTATTTAACAGGCTCGATTTTTCGATCCATCCATCCATCCTAATCTAACGACATTCCGAACCGCTCCCCTTTCAACTTACTCAACAAAATCCAAGGTAAAGCGTCTCCTTCATTTCTGATCCATCACTTCCGTTGCTTATTTACTAATCTCTCAACTCGATTCTTTCTCTCTTCGTATTAGGTTCGTTCGATGGATTCCGTTCTAACATGTAGTCCAT